GTTTTCTGATGTAACTGGAGAAGGTGTTTCTGAGATGGTGAAGTTGGTGTGGTAAACGGAATGAGATTCAGATTTAATAGAAAGGGTGAGGTTCAAAAGGTTCATATTGTATTTTTTTTATTTACTTTTTATTTGTTAAATATGATTTGATTTTAATATTATTACTTTATATATATATCACATCCGTGTATTGAGTACACAGCTGCAGCCTCTCATTTTTCTTTACCTCAATGTTGAACACACAACTATGAAACAATAGGGGGTAGGTCATAAGTAAGTGAAATTACTATCTTACCCTTTATATTTTGTTCTATGTAACCACTTTCCATTTAAGTCAAGAGGGGCATAATAGTCATTTTGTATGTCAATCCCACAATTATATGAGCTCAACGGGTACAATAATGCATTGCATTTCTATTGCCACATCTGGACGAAATTCATAACATGTAATAAATGGAAAAAAAAAATTGATAATATTTTGTAAGATTTACGTTATGATTTGTATTTTAAAATATTAAATTTAGTGTATTTATTCCTTCTTTATTAATATGTATTTTCAAAAGTTGTTGACTTTAATAAAATGTTAGAAAAAATTAAAAACGTATTTTACAAATGAATTGATAGAAAAATTAATTGGCAGAAAATAATTGACATAGGTTTATTTTAAAATGAAAAAATTATTTCGAAAAAACAATTATTCAAAAAAATTACAAAAAAAAAATAATTGACAAAAAAAATCAATTTTTAATTTCTGTATTTTAAAAATAGTTTGGTTATTATTGTTAATAAAAAAATATGGATATCTATATATGAGTTGTGTGTTTGATGATAAATTATTGGTTGAATTAATTTTTGAAAACTATTTTCAAAACACATCACCAAACAAATTTTCATCTTTCACATGTCACATCAAACTTTCAAAACTTAATTCAAAATACATCTTCAAAACACAATTCAACACTCTATTTAAAAACCATAACCAAACAAATTTTCTACACTCAAATCATAATTCTACAACCTACAAACTCAAAATACAACTCATACTCTCAAATCACATTTACAAAACACAACCAAACGCAGGCTATCATTTTTTATAGTCGGAAAATTTAGGCTTTGTTTGTCATAACCTAAAAAAGTCAAAAAGTCAAAAAATCAAAAAGTCATTATCATATTTAAGTCATATCATCTTATTTAAGTCATATTACTTCTCTATCACATCACTTCATACCCAATCCATACCCAACTCATATTTCATAAAAAATCAAAAAATTAAAAAATATACTTATTTAGATCATCCCATACCACTCCCTTAGTAACAAAATTTCAATTTGATTGTTTGGTGGCATGAGTTCGAATAATAACAATAGATCTCTCTTAAAAATAAAAAATAAAAACAGCGTAAATCTCACATTTCTCAAATCTCGCTTAATAGAAATCTTGTGTTCTAAATCACTTTATATATACTTAACTTTCATCCTCAATTTATCTTTTCTAAATAAGTCTGAAATTTATGTTTACACAATTGACTATTTAAACTTAATTTGAAAATTTTAACAAATTTCAAAATATTTTCAAGATTGATTTATTTATTTAACGAATTAAAATTGAACGAGTTTTTAACGAAGCAAACACAAGTTTAGTTTGTTCATCAATCTTACTCTTAGATTAGTATAGGTGCCAAAGAAAGTATTTTATGTAATGGATAAGCCACGTGATTAAGATGACGTGATGCCATCATTTCACTCATTAATTAACATTTCGTAAAGATTGAAACAAAGATTTGATGTAGCTAAACACTAAACACCTCTCTGCAAAAATTGACTTCTCAAATCCCATTTTAATAAGAGGCCAATGGGTTATTTCATACACTAAAAATAAATATTAAATTATATCAAATTTTTTATAATAATGGTAAGTTCAAGTATCGATCTATAAGGATAAACGGGAAATTAAACTAATTTAATTATTAAAATTCTAAATTAATTTCGATGAAAGATGTGTGAGTAATTTTCTGATCACACTGCCCGTTTAGCAATCAGCTAGAGAGCACTGGCAGAATAGATGGCTTCAGTTAACCTGCAACAAAAAGAAAAGGCTCCGGCGGTGGCTCTTCCACCCGGGGGCACTCCGACGATCAAGTCAGTATATCTCTCAAAGATAATCAAGTGCTAAACTCACTATTTGAAGCATAAATTGCATACCTTAGACCCACGGGGGTGCCTCTCTTTTATAGTTTACTTAATCCTAGTCCCACAGGAAGCCTGATCCTTATTTTAACTAAGTCTCCTTTTTACTCTACGACTCTTGCCCCTTATCCATTTATCTCGGATTTCGATATCTTCGGAGATAACCTCCGCCTCGCCGAGATAACCTCGGCGTCACAACCAGGACACGTTGCACCTCGGCTGACACGTCGGCGTCACCTTGTCACGTGTTGGTATTCAGAAAATACATCCCCACAACTGCCCTCTAGGTTCTATTACCGCGGCATTCTGAGGTGATGGAACCTATATCTGTATTTTCTTCCAGTAAATCGGCTTAAAATTTGACAGCCGAGATCATTCATTTCAGGCCGACATGCTTTCCCTAAAAAATCAAGATTTTTAAGGACCTTCTCACGCGCATGAGCTGTCATGCACTTCAACCCAATCGTTTTAGCCACGCGTTTCCCTCTTACTGGTCCGTACACGTGACGCGCCTGTTAGCCGCCTCTTTCTTCATGTGCGCCGTGTGACGCCCTCGTTCTTCTAGGCGTATTGATTGTTTTTGCCGCCGTTTTTGTTTAATCAAAAACTTTTTCCCTTTTTTCCATCTCTTCACTTTTTCATTCGAATCTCCTGCTATCTCTCTCTAGCTTTTGAAACCCTCTATCGCTCAAGCTTCCAAAGCTCTGCAACCTTTTCCGTTCACCCCTTCTGGCGAGATTTCCACCGGTCTTCTGCTCCTGCAACCGTCGTAGGACATCGGCAAATCCCTTTCCGGCTTTCCTTTTTCTGGTAAGCTACTGTTCTTTTCGTTTTCAATTCCCTGATGTTTCTTCTTTTTTTGCTGTCGCCATTACTGTACTGTTTCGAGCTTTTTTAATTCATAAACCGTACATCTGAATGCATGCATCCATGATTTTGCCTTTGCCCACATTTTGCACACACGCACTGTTTCACCATTTCTTTGCACTTTTTGCCACTGTTCTTGGCCATATGCTCTTGTATTCTTCATGTTCTTGATAGCCCATCTCAGTTCTTGTTTCTGAAACTTCGTTTTTTTGTTTTGTTTTTTGCATTTTTTTCCAGATTCTTGCTTTCAATCCGTGTTTCCATAGATTTAGGTCCGGGATTTGTCTGTAGAACCCATAACTTAGGAAAAAACTGAAACCTACACCTACCTTATTGTTCGCCGAGGTCCCAATAACCTTTCAAAAACATCTTCTGAGACCCACATTCTAAGATTAAGCCGATATCATGGGTATGTAGAAACATAGGGTAAGCACCTCCTCCAAACTAGAATACTTTAGACAGGAGTTTGAGATCCCAGCCGACGTCCATTTGAGGTTGGCTAGGAATGATAACTCCATCATGCCCACTGCCGACTCCATGTCTTTCCCCGTAGTCGCCTTTATCGAGTGTGGACTTTGGCTTCCACTAAACATTCTATTTCGCGAGGTCCTCCATTACTATAAGTTGAACCCTATGCAACTGGCCATCAATTCTTACCGAGTGATCAATGGTATTATAGCCCTAGCTAAACAGAAAAACACTAGGATCACCCTTGCCGACATCCAATATTGCTATACCATGTGTGGCCTTAACTTGAAAGAAAAATGCTACATTTATTACCTTAAGCCGAGGTCCACATTATTTAAAATTGTAGCCGACCTCCCAGACTCCAACAAGGGGCTGGTGACGATTATTTCATTACCTCGGGGAACTAGGAGTTCGCCCCAGATGAAGACCTCCACCTCTTCCCTCTCCCACGATCAGTCTTTATAGAGGGTAATGGTAAGAACCTTGCATTCATACTTGTTTTACTTTTAAAGTCTTGTATACTTTATCTGTTTCCTAATGTTTGCTTTGTCTTTATTTTTGCAGTTCTTCCTCAGCCGCCAAAAAACTTTCGCCAATCCTTTGTTCCCAGTAAGGATTTAAAGAAATTACTGGACCTGCCTGTTCAGAAGCGAAAAGCACCCCTGCTTCTCAACTTCATCCCAACATACTAATCAGCTCTCCCCGATGTCCCTAGAAAAAAGAAGAAGAAGAGCTTATCTCCTCCCTCTGCTACAACTCTTCCAGCTACATCAACATTACGAACAGACCAAGGATCAACCTCTGATCCAGCAGAACAGCCGTCGATCTCGGCTCCATACCTCATTCCACCATCCCAAAGAAAGCGTCGCCAACGTCTTGTTCTTACAGCCGAGATGGGTCGCGCAAAGCTAGTTGCTAAAGACCTCCTAGCCAAGATTCCATCGTCCATTGACGAACAACCAACACAAACCCAACCTCCAGCAAAACCAAAAAGAATTAAGAAAGCTCAACCGAAGGCGAAAGTAACTCAAGTTGAGACTGAGGACGCTTTGCCAGCCCCAAAACTGGCTCCAAGTCAGAAAACTGCCTCTGTCCCTTCAAAGAGGTCTGCCGAAGTATCTCCTTCCGAATCCTCTAAATCAAAAAGGCCGAGGTCATCTGCAACGATTTCGGGGTCAAAGAAACCAGATGCTCCCTGGGCCCCCGAAATCACCCTAGAGGATAAGCCCGTAATGGCAAGTGACAGCGCCGACGATATCAATGTTGGCGTTGCACTCAGTACCGCTCTACTTCTCCCAGGTGACGTGGAGCGGAACGCCCAGTATAGCTAGTATGAGAATTATGCCTTAACGTTACAACACTCTGTTCAGGTAAATGTCTTCTACTTGGTAAATTTTTCTTTCTCTTTATTTCACACTTTGAATATTCTTTAATACCTCTGTTTTCTTTCAAGCCATCCAGCATGCCCACTCTTTCTCAATGCAGTCTTTTGAGAACAGGGAGAGGCTTGCCGAGACGAAGAGGGATGTCTCCAGCCTCCAAAAGACCAACAAAGGCCTCCAGTCAAAAATGAAGAAGTTGGAAGACCAAGTTGAGGAAGCCATCAAGGCTCGGACTGAAGCCGAAGAAAATGCTGAGGCTGCTGAGGCCATTAGGAAGGTAGCCGAATCACAAAGGAGAGAGGCCGAGGAAAAAATGACCCAAGCTGAAAAAGAGCTTCAGGAGGCCCTGGCCACCAAAGAAGCTGAAATGAAAGACGCCGAAGAAAAGGCGTACTCACAGGGTATGACCGACGTTACTGAGGCCTATGAAAAACAAGTGAAGGAGGCATGCAACAAGGGTTTCACCCTTGGTTGGATGTCCCTTCTTAAAAAGCTTAATGTTCCTAATGACTCTCCATTGCGGAAGGCCGACGCCATTCCCTTGCCATTTCCTCCAGCCCCAACTCCAAGTGAAGATGTCGGTGAATCTGATGCTGAGGATGGGAAGGAGGCTTTGATTAGAAAATCAAAAGATGCTGATAGGGCCAAGTCCCCTCTTCAGAATAAGCAAGTCCTAGACTTGACTTATGATGAAAAAGGCGATGAGGTTGTCCAAGAAGCTGTTCCCAACATCGCACCAGCCGACATCCCTTCTGAGGTCAAGACTGTTGAAGAAACTCTCCAAGAAATTGACGCCGAGATAGCGGCAGAGAAGGAGGCCGAGGTGGTATCTAATCTTCAAATTCAACAATCTAGAGGAGAGGAGCCATAGCTCTAAGTCTTTTTTTTCTTTTTTCTTTTTTTTTTTTGGCTATTCTAGGGCTATTCTATACTTAGAATATTCTGCACATCTTTTACATATTCTTCCCACTTTGTAAAATCTTCTCGAGGTGACACACCTCGGATACATAAACTTTTCGGTTTTAATCTTAACAAGTGCTGAATATCATGCTGGTTTAACTCGACTTGTAAATTGTCCACAAATTTCAACAAGTGTTAAACAATGTCTTTGGCTTAACTTTAACTTGTAAATTGTCCACAAATTTCAACAAGTGTTAAGAAATACTTTTCGGTTTAACCAACTTGTAAATTGTCCACAAATTTCAACAAGTGTTAAACAATGATCTCATCTTAACTTAACTTGTAAATTGTCCACAAATTTCAACAAGTGTTAAGCAATACTTTTCGGTTTAACCAACTTGTAAATTATCCACAAATTTCAACAAGTGTTAAACAATGATCTCGGCTTAACTTTAACTTGTAAATTGTCCACAAATTTCAACAAATGTTAAGTAATACTTTTCGGTTTGACCAACCTTTAAATTGTCCACAAATTTCAACAAGTGTTAAACAATGATCTCGGCTTAACTTAACCTGTAAATTGTCCACAAATTTCAAAAAGTGTTAAGCAATACTTTTTGGTTTAACCAACTTGTAAATTGTCCACAAATTTCAACAAGTGTTAAACAATGATCTCGGCTTAACTTAACTTGTAAATTATCCACAAATTTCAACAAGTGTCAAGCAATACTTTTCTCTTCCCTCTACCCCCTAATGTGAGCCTGAGTTTCACTTGGGTTCGCATTATACATGTACTCCAGAGACAATGTCAAGTATCTTGAAAACAGAACTGAATCTTTATTTATTTATTTCGGCAAATGGCCAAGGAACAAAGGAATCTTAATGATAGAAAAATTTCAAATTACAAGTGTTCCAAGATCTTGGCGATTCTTAGCCCTCTTTATCTTCAAGCCGGCATGCCACATTTCCCAGTACCGAGATAATCTTGTAAGGTCCTTCCCAATTTGGACCAAGTTTGCTCTTTCTGGGATCCTTCTTGTTGTCGACAACTTTCTTTAGGATGAGGTCACCACTCTGAAATTCTCTTGGATTGACCTTCTTGTTGTATGCTCTGGCAAGCTGTTGTTGGTATGCTGCAAGCTGAACTGCAGCTTTCTTCCTTCGTTCTTCCAGAAGCTCTAGCTCTCAGGCTAAGAGAACATCATTAGTTCTGTTTTCTACCCCTTGGGTTCTGATTCCAGAGATGCCGATCTCCAGTGGAATGACTGCTTCTGTGCCATAAGCCATGGCAAAGGGGTTTCCCCAGTTAATCTTCTTGGCGTAGTCCGATATGCCCAGAGTACATTGGGCAGTTCGTCTACCCATTTTCCTTTTGCTGCCTACAGCCTCTTCTTTATTCCATCCAAGATTACTTTGTTGGATGCCTCTGCTTGCTCATTGCTTTGGGAAAAACTTGGTGTTGAGAAGTAATTCTTGATCTTGAATTTGCACAAAAGTTCTTCATCCCCATCCTGGACGAGGATTTTCTTTAGTGCCTCTTCGCTCTTCTCAGCTGGCTCCTTGCCGACGTCTTCTAGGACTTTCACGTCCTCTTCTTCAATTTCTGCCTTCTCTGGCTCTCGAACGCTGCAAGTAGACTTCATTGCTGCCATGGAGCAACTTCTTGCCTGCAGCTGATCACCCCTGACTTCTTCTATCCCATGATCTGTTGGGAATCGCAACAGTTGATGCAATGTTGAGGGAACTGCCCCCATCGCATGCAACCATGGTCTTCCCAAGATGATGTTGTAAGGGGAGGGTGTGTTGATGACGGTGAATTCTGTCTTGATTTTCCTGGTGCCAGCCTGCACCTCAAAGTTTACTGCTCCCAGTGGCCATGTCGGCGTTCCGTTGAACCCGACCATCGGGCTGTTGGATCGTTCTATGTCATATGGGTGAAGGCTGAGCTCCTTGTAACATCGAATGTATATGATGTCACAAGAGCTTCCTTGGTCAATCAAGATACGTTTCACTTGGCACTCCCCAACCTGGAGGGATACTACCAAGGCATCATTATGCGGATGCTGGACCATCTCTAGGTCGGCTTCAATGAAGGTTATCATCGGTCCCTGGTATTGTTCTGCCCGATGTGTTTTCTCTCCGACTTAATAGACATGTTGTAGGTGTTTTACCTTCTGGGTTTCTCCTCGGATTTCGTTTTCATTGGCCTTTGAGTAGATTACGTTGATTACCCGAGGTCCTCCTGCCTGTGGCTGTTGTGCTGGGGGAGGTGGGGCTGCTGGTGCTTGAGGCAATCTCGCCCGTTCTTCCCTTGTTCTAGTTTCATCAACAAGGTCTCTCAGATGTCCTTGTCTTACCAGGTCTTCCAAATATGTTTTTAGGGCTCTGCAACCTTGAGTCGTATGTCCATCTGCATTGTGGTAGGCACAATGCCTACCAATGTTTCTTTCCATGAACTCTCCTGGAGTCCTTTCTGGCGTTCTGAAATAGGGCTAGTTTCGAATTTGATCCAGGACTTTGGGAATTGGGATCCGGAACACGGTTGTTACTGCTTGTATGGCCCTTAGTTCTGCCTCTTGCCTGCTCGTTCCATTGTTACCTCGGCCTCGCTTCGGCGAGCCGTTCCCTTTCTCCTGTTTTATCTCCCTATTCGTCGATGTGTCTTCTTCGGCTCTGGCATACTTCTCGATTCTTGCCATGAGCTCTTCCATGCCTTTTGGCAAAGTTTTTGCCAAAGATTTCCGTAGCGGACAATTGTCTTTTAGGCCATTCTTGAATGATACGACCGCTACTTCTTGATTACATTCTGGTATTCAGTTGAATACCTCATAGTATCTTTTTGCGTAGGTCCTAAGGCCTTCATCCTTACTGATCCTCAAGGCCATCAATGCGTCCACCCTTAATGGCTGTAGCTTATTTGTCACGAACCGGGTCACAAACATCTCAGCCAGGCCTTCCCAAGGCCTCATGCTTCCCTTCGGTAGTTTATGGAACCAATCTGATACAATCTCCCCAAAGGATAAGGGGAATACTTTGCAGAGCAATGGCTCGTTTCCATTATACAATGCCATTGAGTTCAAATGTAGTCCGACGTGGAAGTTGGGGTCTGACTTGCCGTCGTATATTTGAAACCTCGGCATACTGAATCTCTTTGGTGCCTCGAACCTGTCCAATTCCACCGAGAATGGTGTCCTCGGCTTATCTGGGGATGTTACCTCGGCTTCGGCATTCTGCTGCTTCCTCTTGAGGTAATCTCTTAAGTCTTCTTTGCTCCGCCCAGGAGCTCGGCTATCTTTCGACTTCAGTCTCTTCGGTATACTACTCTCGGCCTCGTGGTGAGCCCTTTTCGACCCTAGCATGAAATAATATAGTATGACTCGTCTCATCCCTTGAGCATGAAATAATAGAAAATCATTGTATGAAAACCATTCAACAATCATAGAAAGTAAAAAACTCGAAGAAATAATGGAAATTATATTAAAAAACTTCTTGAGAACCATACAATTGTTCGAACCATTACATAAAAGAAAACCAAAACGAAAACCTATTTACTTGGCTAGGGTTTCATCAAAACCATAGAAAGAGGAGCCTAGCTACTTATGGAGGAATGGGAAGAAGTAGAGGAAGAAGAAGCTACTATGGGAGACATTCTTCAAATTTCAAGTTCTTTTTCTTCCAAACCCTAGCCTCTCTCTTCCTTAAAAATTATCAAATAATCTAGCATTTTTTCTGTCTTTTTATACCTCTGCTATTTTTTCCAAATTCAAAACATCAAGCACGCTTCCCGAGGTACAACCACATGTGTAAAAATTTCCATCGCACGTGCGGCAAAGGTTCTGCACATACGGGAATAGGCCTCTGCATGTGCAATTTCTTTAGGGCCTATTTGGTTGCGATGGATGGGCCGCATGTGCGAGAATGGGCCTCGGTACATGCAGGAGGCATTTTTCTCTGTACTTTCTGCATTTTTGCTCATTTTATGCTCCTACTGTGTCCAACCCGATTAACATTAAACAGGCACAAAATATATAATTTGACAAGCAAGTAGGGTTAAGAGATCCTAAATATCGACCTCAGTGTTGTACAATTCAGTCTCAATCAAGGACATTTACTAATAAATCTTATATCAATGACTAATGGATCATTTAGTCCCATAAATATTCTTATGAACCCATAAGTCTTATTTCATATTAAAATCTTTCAAATGAAGCATACCCACATTTGAAAACGTAATGCACACATTAGAATATGGCACATTGTCACATTTTAGGAATGACTCATATGGCAAAAGCAATATAATGAAAGGTCCTCATGGTATACTTTTTCAAATTCAATGAGACTTAATAGTTTATAAGAAAATTCATGAAACTTTCCAATACATATTTTTTTGGAATAGGACTTCTAATTAATTTATATAATATGTCAATTAGTGAATAAAAGGGAACACCACGTCATCTCAACCATGCAGCCAACCTATTACATAAAATATTGTAGCACTTACGAGTCAGTTCTATAGACCATACTTATTTACCTATAAGTCATGCTCATTTTTTTACTAATCAATATTTTCAAAAATACCCCTCCTTTATTTTCTTCATTCCCAATTATCAATGCTGCCATGACTCTCCCCTCCTCGTGTCGATACCATCTTCAGTCGTCGTCTTTGACTATCGATGACCATCTCAGACCTCAAAGATATTTTTTAGGCAATGTTATCAACAATTATCTCACTATTGTTTCTAGAAAAAACAGCGTCCTTCTCTACTACATCACTACTTCCACCACCTCCTCAAATCCAGTGGTGACAAGAGAAATAGAGGAAATTGAGAAAAAAGAAAAATATTTGTGATAAATTTATCGCTGATAACATTCGTCAAATTTTTTCAAACCACTTAATCAATTACTCCCTCTCACTCTTACATGTGTACTCACATACATACATACATGCATACTTACTTATTCATTCATAAAAACACACCATACACAAAAGAAGTAAGACTGATATATTTATCATTGTAAATTTATTCACTAATATCAAATTTTTACAAAACAACAAAATTAGTTTAATTAGATCTTCACAAATAGATTAATGGAAATCCTCAATATGTACACACATACACATAGAGAAAGTGAGAGGGACAAAGATAGAGAGAGCCCCAATCTCATTGGTAGGAGCTCCAACAACCATGTCATGGCTATATCTCGATGGAGACAGGGATAAGGTACTAGATCGGTATCCAAAATAATAGATTGGCGTTTGAAATGGTTAGATCTAAAGTCACTAGTGAAGATCGATGTTGGAAATGGCTAGATCTGAAAGTCACCAGTGATGACAACAAAGGAAGAGGACGATGGTAAGAAATGTGCAACATTGGTGGTGACAAAATAGGGTGGTGGTGTGTAGATTGGTGACAGTGGAATATAGATCGGCAATGGTCTAGGTGATTAGTGAACAGTGGCAACGGTTGAATGATAACTGTGGCAAATGGACAGCCATGGAATAGTAGTGATGTGGCAACAATGGCAGTAGATGGTGATCGCCTGAAGCTCTCTAGAGAAATGGCAAAGAGGAATAAAAAAAAGAAGAGTTTTCTAAAGAAATGGTAGAAGGAGAGGAAAGATATTAAAAATAAAAATAAAAATTAATGGGTAATAAATTTAAGGGTAAATTACATATACACTTCATGAGTTTTGTAAAAAATATAAATTGTCCTCTGTAGTTTTGAAAATTACAAATACCCATTGTTAGAATTTTTAATTTAACAAAATTAACAAAAAAAATGAAATTCTTAACTATTTTCATATAAAACAATAAAATTATTTGAATTGTTACTTAAAATATATTTTTGAAAATATTAAAAATTGTTAATTGATTTGATAATTTATTAATAAAATGAGTTCCAAAAGTATAGCAGACCATTCATATTTTAAACAAATTTCAAGAAATATATTTATAATTTATTTTGAATTTAATAAGATCAATATAAATATTTTAAAATTTATTAGTGTATTTAAAAAATATATAAAAAGTTACATATATTTATATCCATCCAATAAAATTCAGGGTAAACTATCAATAGGTCCTAATCGTTGGATTTAATTCCAATCAAGTCTTATTGAAAATAAATCTTAGTATAATCATTGCTAAAAATAATTTTTTGTAACGATTTTTTTACATATGTTGCTAAAAATTGATAATTAGTGACTTTTTTTTTTCACAATTTTATAAATTGTCACTAAAACTTACAATTAGTTATGTTTTTCT